GAGGAATATTCTGAGGTTTTTGAGCCAATTCCGGACGGGTTACCTCCCGACCGTGCAGTCGGCCATACCATCCCGGTGGAACCAGGAAAGGCACCACCGTTTAGACCTCTGTATCGCCTCAGTCCAGCTGAGTACGAGGAGGCTAAACAACAGATTGAGGAATACCTCAGGAAGGGATGGATAGAACCTAGCGCGTCCCCATACGGAGCACCTATCTTGTTCGTTCACAAGAAAGGGGGCGGACTGCGCATGTGCGTCGATTATCGAGCCCTGAATAAAATTACGATCAAAAACAGATATCCACTTCCGCGGATAGAAGATTTATTTGATCGACTACAGGGTGCGCAATGGTTCAGTGCATTGGATTTGGCGCAAGGCTATCACCAACTGCGTATAACAGAGGACGATGTTCCAAAGACGGCTTTCCGTTCGCCGTTCGGCCATTTTCAGTGGCGTGTGTTAAGTTTTGGCTTGACCAACGCTCCGGCCTCTATTTAGAGGGCGATGAACGATGTGTTTCGTGATGCGATTGGCCAGTTCGTCTTGGTGTACCTCGATGATATCCTGGTATACTCGAAAACCGAAGACGAGCATACGGAACATTTGAAATGGGTCCTCGGAAAATTACGCGAGCATAAGTACTACGCGCGTTTATGGAAATGTCATTTTTACAAACGTGAGCTGGAGTACTTGGGGCACGTGGTGGGGCATAACGGGTTGAAAGTGGACCCCAAGAAGGTAGCAGCTGTCCAGGAGTGGCCCGTCCCACGCGACGTTGGCCAAGTTCGATCATTCCTGGGCCTGGCGAATTATTTTCGTCGCTTCTTGGAAAATTATTCCACGATAGTCGCTCCCCTCACGGCATTGACCCGGAAAGGGTGTGCGTGGGAGTGGACCCCACAGTGCCAAAAAGCCTTTGAGGAGGTCAAATATAAATTAACCAATGCACCAGTTTTGGTGTTGCCAAACCCACAGAAACCATATGAGGTAGTTACAGACGCCTCAACGGTGGGACTTGGAGCAGTACTCCTGCAAGATGGACGCCCTGTGGCATTCGAGAGTAGAAAACTCTCCCCGGCAGAGCAACGCTACACGACTACCGAACAGGAATTGTTGGCTGTCGTGCATGCGCTAAGAACATGGCGATGTTATTTGGAAGGGGTAGAGTTCGTGGTCACCACTGACCATTGTCCGAACACATATTTTTCTACCCAAGCTACCCTCACTCGCCGTCAGGCCCGTTGGGCTGAACTTCTCAGTGGGTTCAGCTTCGACATTCGTTATCGTGCAGGTTCCACGAACCTGGCTGACCCCCTCAGCAGACAGCCGATAGGGGCGGCAACCGGGCTTGACGATACCGAACATGCGGCTGTTTTTGCTGCCTGTTTTAGTATACTAGCTACGGCGAAAGTGAGCGAGATCGCGTTCAGTGGTTTTCTGAAACGAATTCGTACAGGATAACACATCGATTCCTGGTTCCAGAACCCACAAAACACCAGACATCTGACATGGGAACACGATCTTTGGTGGCGAACAAAAGAGATTGCGGTACCTCATGTAGGCAATCTGCGGAACGATATCTTGGAAGAGGTGCACGCCACTAAATATGGGGGACACTTGGGCATGAATAAGACCCGGTGGGCCTTACGCGATGTATATTGGTGGCCTGGAGTCGGTAGTGATGTCCAACAGTTTGTGGCACGTTGTGACACGTGCGCACGTAACAAACCGGACACACAAAAGCCTGGTGGTTTGCTTCAACCACTTGAAATTCCGAGTGAACCTTGGGAAAGCGTTTCACTGGATTTCATCACCGACCTCCCAAAAACCCGCGATGGGTATACGGCGATACTCGTGTTTGTAGATCGCCTTACAAAAATGGTGCACTTTGTACCCACGACAACGGACGTATCAGCAGAGGATACGGCTCGGTTGTTCGTGACACATGTGTTCCGCCTACACGGATTGCCACGTGTATTAGTGTCTGATCGCGACCCGCGCTTCACGAGCCGATTCTGGCGTGAAGTAACTGAGACACTAGGAACGAAGCTTAAGATGTCGTCAGCGTTCCACCCACAGACAGATGGGCAAACGGAACGGACTAACCGCACTCTCGAGCAGATGCTTCGTTCTTTCATAAGCCCAACACAGGACAATTGGGACGAGTTGTTACCCATGGTCGAGTTTGCGGTCAAGAACTCGGTGCATGATAGCACACATGAAAAACCATTTATCCTGAACTGTGGTCGGCATCCCACAACACCTGCTACGCATGGGATCGGCGGTTTGAAATTACCTGCCGCAAAGGATTTTGTGGGCAAGCAACGAGAGGCCCTAAAGTCGGCACGTCGTTGGCTGCAGTTAGCCCAGCAAAGGCAAAAATCCTATGCCGACATGAAACGCCGGGAAGTATCATTCTCCGTTGGAGACAAAGTTTTATTAAGCACGAAGAATATTCGGCTTAAGATCCCTGGTGCGAGAAAGTTGTTCCCTCGCTGGATTGGGCCCTTCGAGGTGATTCAACGAGTTGGTGCGGTAGCTTACAAGCTCAAGCTACCTGATACCCTGCAGATTCACAATGTCTTCCATGTGTCTCTGTTAAGCAAGTACGTTGCAGAAGGCAAGTACTTACCACCACCAACAATCGTCCTAGGGGAGGAACTGTACTATGAAGTCGAACGAGTGCTTTTGCATCGTGATCGACAACGCGGCCGCAAGACTGTACGAGAGTTCCTCATTAAGTGGAAAGGCTATGGGCCTGAACACAACTCATGGGAGCCGGAAGAACATTTGACTGATACTGCGGTTCAGTCTTACATGGAAGACCTGGCTCAACGGGCACTCCCACAACCAGCGGATGGTGTTGACCCTGGTCGTAATGTGGTTCGTCGTGCTCGTAGCACTCGTCCTAAGAAGCACCCCACGGCAACGAGGACGTTGCCAGCTGGAGGGGGAGGAGTGTAACATCCGTACCCAACCCCAGCTGGTCTCGATACGTCGAACCAGCTGAGGGAGAATGGTGGGGAAATCTGGTTGGTTGGGAAAGCGAGACTTACAGACAATTCAGGATTGATTGGGAAACCAACCAATCGAGTTGCTCCTGAGTCAAACTTACGCGATTGGTTTGAGCTTGTTCAAACATAACCCACGTAAGTTCACCTCATCATTAAATCAACCAATCAGATCACAGCCCCAAGAGTGAGTCGACAATATTTCCGCCGCTCACTCCAAACACAACCAATAAACATCAAACACAGGTTTGTGATTGCTGTGCATTTCCTATCCATGCTATTAATAATATTATTGGTTGAGAATCTTGTTAATTGCCACATGGGCAAGGCCCAAGGGAGTGCACCCCTCCTTGCCATGGGGAAGGTGGTTGCACCCCAAGGGGGTCTAGGGAAGGGGTCTGAAGCCTCTTGGCTCATTCCTCATTTCCTACTCCCAACTAATCAATTGGGAAATGGGATCTCTCTTCTTCAACTCCTCCTCCACAGTTTGTGACTGCATCTCCTAGCACTTTCCAGGCTTAGTGATTTTCCAGGAGCTGCTACTCTCTGGTTGTGTTAGAACCTATTATTAAGTGGGTAAATGCCCTTTTTATTATCAGATCCGTTACAGGAGTGGAGGTGGGAATACGAGAGACGTAAGAAATGGAAGAAGTTTCAGCAACGTCGGGGATGAGAATCGTCAGGAATGTAATCAGTCACATGATCAGTCGCACGATCAGTCGCATAATCACTCGAATGATCAGTCATATAAATCAGTCGCATGATTATTCGCATGGTCAATCGTTCGATTCGCTATGAGTCGTATTATTGGCATAGCATACCTATCACGTATGACACGAATTGGCATAATCGCAGAAATATCGCTTCGCGTGCATTGGCTTCGCGCGGTACTAGCTCACAGCGACACGCTAGCTTGTCTAACCAGATCTGCAGGTCGAAGCAAACATACGGGTAACCCTATAACGCTAGACCTACGGGTAACAAGGCTGCAAGTAGTGGACCTAGGGTAATCGTGTAACAGAGGGCCTAAGCGTGAAGAGCCACGAGTCGCGATCATGAAGGATGCTCTAAAGGATGCTCTTAATGGCATCATTGCGACTTCCGGATGAATAGCCACGAGATGGCGATCACGAGAACAACGGCCGCTCCGAAGACGCCGAAGAGCGCTTCGACGGACCACCCCAAATTAGGGACGACGACGTCGCGCGGATATTACGGATGGGTGATGCCATGGCTGGGGCAATGGCAAATGTTTTCCGGAGGAAGGTTCGCTGGGGAAAGGGCTGCGGCTGGCTCGCTCGCGAACCAGAGATAGGTTGAAATAGGTAGACGTGGGTCCCAGAGAATATCGATCCCCCCCAAAGCAACACTGCGAAAGATCGTGCGAAAGCGTCACTGCTGTCGTCGATGCCTGCCGTAGAGGAAATTTCCCCACGATTCCGCGCCTGGAAATTGTAGGATGAAAATTTTCAAAACTTGTGATTGTAAGAACTTTATGCGAAAAAAGGTTCAATGAAGCTCTCCGCACTTGCCGCCTTACGGCGGCCATGGATTTTACCGAGCAAGCTGTTACTAGCCTCCTCGCTTCGATGCATCACACGTCCATTTGAAATTAAACAAGGCTTCGCCTATAGCTATGACAACGGACATCCAGTCATATTTGCTGACCTTGGTGTTTCCGGCTATCAGGCAGCGGTTCTCAATGTTCGCCTGGCATCCTTGGGATTCTGGTATACGCTTGTCCCTAACCATGCAGTCAATATACCAACAAGTTTTCATGACATTGTCTACAGCATACTTATTAAGAACGACGTTCTCAAGGGTTCAGCATCGGAAATGTCTTCAATGTTCTCTCACTTCAAGGAGCCTGACAAGTTCAGAAGACTATATAATCAGGCCGTGCTCCGTCATCAGGCAGATCAAGCTTACACAGCTTTCATCGGTGTTGATCACATCGCTGCTCTGCCAGTTTTAAATCATCATTGCACGATGTCGCACCCGGCTGACTTCCCGACCTTGCCAAAGGGTCCGCGTACCAAGACTGCTGACAATGCTGCTGCGCCTACTCTCCCTGCGGTCAACCAGCAAGAGTCAGTTACTGGCGACAATGCTACGTCTGGGGTCAACAATGTCATGGCTGACAGTGCTGCTCACAAGGTTTCGGATCCTGCCGGTACATCGCATGATCAGGCTGCGTCATCAGCGCTACTCACCGATGCAGATGGTTTCATCGACGAAGGCTCTGATTACGAGCTGGAGCTCGATTTGAGCACTGAAGTTGCTGTGACCCTGCGCTCCACTGCTGTTCTGCTGATCCCGTTTATTCTGCATCTGGAAATTGCTTGTGTGCTGGATGCTCTCAAGATGCTGATAAAACGTGGTTGGTGCACATAACTCTCGGATGATGTGTACATGGTGGTGAAGTTTCAGGAGCTTCCCACAATTTACATCGCGAAGCTGCGATACTGCCGTCTTTAGGCTTCTTTCCTGCTCGCTACGGATGCGGAAACAGTGAGAAGGAAGGAGGTGGTTTATCAGGCACTTAATGGCAAGCTGTTCAAACTGCACTGGCTTCATATCGACAATCCTACCTTCTCGCGGGAGAAGGCTCAGAACCCGCAAGCCATCGAAGTCGTTGTCAAAGGAGTTTCGGCGGAGGTTGAGCTGTTTTCGATCCAGAATCGCCTGGCTGTGTTCAACATTGAGAGCCGTGGGAAGTCGGCTTCCTAGCGTTGCACCTGCCTTCGCCGGGTTCTTCATCCTGTCACGGGAGCGGATACGGATGTGGTGAAAGGGTTGGTTTATGCTCATCCTGCGGATCTCCATCGCTGGATTCATGCGATTCCTGATCCGGCAGATCGCGCGAAGAAACTGCTGATCCACTATCCTTCGCTCTCCTGCTCGCTCTGCGGGGGTCAGCATTATGATAAGTATCATAATGTTTACACCACTGAGCGGCAGAATAACGTAGGAAAGTGGAATTTGTCTTTGGGAAAGGCACACAGGCTTAACGGTAATGGCGGCTCACGGTTGACAGTCAATACTTTGATCTCTCCATCTCTTTCCCAGCTTCCATCTCTCACCGCTTTTACTGACCTCTCTTGTGCTACTTGCAGCTGCCTCCCTGAAAGCCTCCGCGTTCATCCTTCCTTTGCTCCGAGACCCTGCCTTAGCACTGATCTCAACCGGCACCAACAGGGAGGAGTGGCTGTGTAAGCAAGAGGGTTGTGGGAAGGCTCACGGCAAGAGCTTCATGACATCTGCAGCTCACATCGCTACCGCTGCTCACATGCTTCACCTGGAGGAGGCCGGTGCTGCTACCAAGCAGTCCCTCGAGAAGATGTCCCTCAACGCCATTCGGAAGGAGTATGGAGTGTAGATGTCTCTGATAGGAAGCTGGAGATGGCGGCGATCTGGAGTCTGGGGGTCAGCGTTGCTTGTGTTGTTTCTTTTATCAGCCTGTGGATGATCAGGGGCTGCAAGGCAGTGGAACCATGATTAAGAAAAACCACCTCACCATATCGAGCCTCAATGCCAACGGCCTCTCAGATGCAGCGAAACAAAGTCGAGTTAACAACTGGTTCAGCAAAGCAGGAGACATAGCAGTCCTAGTTGACACTAGAATAGCCGCAGATCACCCATACTGGAAAAGCCTCTCAACTCACACAGTGTTAGCGACAGCTTCTAGATCGAGAGCGGGTGGAGTAGCCGTCCTTAGCAATCACCCTTCCATCACCTTCCATGACACACTGCCTCACCCGTCCGGTAGAATAGTTAAGACTACAGTCAGGGGTCTCGGTCCAGATCTTACACTGCTCGCGGTGTACTTTCCTGCTAGCCCACAGTCCAGATCCGTCTTCCTCCGAGACTCCCTCGGACCTCTGGTAGATCAGATCCCAGTGACAGACCATCTGCTGATCATAGGAGATCTCAACCACATAGAAAACTGCAAGCTAGACAAGTCATCAGGCAAGGGAACCTCGAACGAGAATGAGAGGTTATTTCAGAGATGCAAATCCTTCCAGCTCTCTGATGCTTTTCGTATCCTTCACCCGGGGTGCAGAGAGTACACCTTCTTCTCTAAGTCGAAACGGGTCAGCACGCGCATAGATCGAGCCTTAGTTTCACAGTCTCTTCTACCTTACCTGACGGTCGCAGCTCACGTTAAGCCTGATGAACCCGTAGCGGACCACGGCTTCGCAGTATTAACTGCTTTCCGCTTGGATGAGAAGGCCTGCACAGGGCCAGGGATGTGGAGGTTACATGCTTCAATGGTGAACAAGCCTGGGGTGCGGAAAATAATCGAGGCAACGGTACAGAGGACTCCGGTCAACGACGGCAGCAGCTTTGAACTGCTGGTGGCTAGACTGAGCGCTGGGCTTCGGGCTTATGCAAGGGAGGAAAGCAAGAGGGTCCGAGCGACGGTAGCTCACCTGACCAATACGGTGGCGATTCTGACGCAGAAGCTGATGGGAGATCCACTCTGCACCAGAACAAAGGAGTTGTTAAAGGTGAAGGAAGGCCAGCTAAAAATGTATCAGGCGTCTAGGAAGGAGCGGTTGCACCTTCAAGCGGGTTCCACGGCGGAGATGACAGGAGAGATCCCCTCGAAGCATCTGTCGGCGAAGGTGCAGGCGCGGAAGGTGCGCACTCAGATCTCGGAGTTGAAGGATGGGGCGGTGTCGATCGCTGGCTCTAAAGAAATCCTGAAGGCGGCGTCGGGTTACTTCAGGAATATCTTCGGAGCTGATCGGCGGGTCGAAGGTGCAGATTGGAGTTTCAACCCTGCTCGCCGGCTGGACGAAAGGGTGGCTGAAACACTGACAGCAGATTGGACAGAGCAGGAGGTGAAGAAAGCATTTGCGGCAATGGCGAGAAATAAATCACCTGGGAGTGATGGTCTGCCGAAGGAGCTATTTGAGGCTCACTGGGACCTGCTGGGGGAAAGTTTCATGGTAATGGCGAAGAGCTTCGAGAGCAGCGCCTCTCTGCCAGCTGAAGTGAAGGAAGCGGTAAAGATTTTGCTGCACAAGAAGGGGGACAAGGAGCAGCTTAATAATTACCGCCCAATCACTCTGCTGAATTTCACCTACAAAGTACTGGCGCGGGTGGTTGCAAATCGTATGAAGTCAGTGTTGCACATGGTTATTTCACCGGAGCAGTATGGCTTCATCCCTGGTCGTCGTCTGTCGGATGCGGTCGCGCTGGTGGCAGATATCATCGAAGGCGCGAAAAACGGGAAGGAAGACTGGTACCTGCTTCTGGTTGACTTCCAGAAAGCGTTTGACTCAGTCTCGAGGGAGTTTCTCTTCAACGTGTTGGAGAAGATGGGTTTCCCAGAGCGGCTTGTCGGCTGGGTTAAGGGCCTGCATGAGGGAACGACGACAAAGCTTCTCATAAATGGCTGGCTCGGGGACAGCGTGAACGTGGTTTCTGGAGTCCGGCAGGGTTGCCCCTTGGCGCCATACCTGTTTCTGTGCGCAGTGGAGCCGTTGGCTCAGGAAGTGGAGAGACGGGGGCTCGGTCTCGAGAAGGAAGGGCACCGGCTCGGGTATCTCGGACACGCGGACGATACGACTCTCGTCCTGCAAGGAAGGGAGCAGATCGGTCAGGCTGAGGATTTACTAGATCGTTTTGAGAAGGCGTCGGGATTGGCGACGAACAAGTCAAAGTCGGTGGTCTTACCTTTGGGGAATAACATTGGAGCGATGGATGGCGGTGCTAGCGGCTTCAAATGGGCCGGTGCGGATGAAGCAGAACGGTTACTGGGGGTGTGGGTGACGCCGTCCGGCAACGGTCTGCCAACCTGGGAGAAGACGTGGAGCCGGGTATCGGAGAAGCTCACAAAGTGGCAGCTAAAATACCTGACGATCACAGCAAGGGCAACGGTGGTTAATTACTATATCACACCAATACTGGCGTTTCAAGCGCAAATCTATCCGCCACCGGCAGCTATCTGGCTGATCATGCGCCTTCAGCATAGCTTCACATCAGGAAACAGGGTCGCAACGGCAAAAAGTTTTATCCTCTGGAGTAGGGAGCTGCTTTACACCCCGAGGTTGGATGGCGGGATCGGGGTCATAGACCCGGAAATCCTCATCACATGCTTGGCGGCAAGGAGAGTCGGCCTGTTAATCACGGAACAAAACCCGCTCAAAAGGGACTTGATGGAGCGCGCGGCGCAGCTTCCGATGGGAGCGGACTCCTTCGCCGCGCACGAAAAACTGCTCAAGCACTGGGGCAGCGGTAGCTAGGTCTTATGCGATGTATGCTGATGTTGACTATAGTGCTGCTGGATCTGTTTACTTGCCTGTACCTAGCGTAGGATCTTTGCCTGTTGCTAGAGTAGGTGCTGGTGTAGGATCCTGTCTAGCTACTAGTACAGGTGCTCCCTCGGCGGACGCGTCGCTCTCCTTCACACTGGACTCCGGAGCGACGCAGTGCTTCTTCCGCGACAGCACGACTCTTACTCCACTCTCGGCGCCGGTTTCTGTAGCACTGGCCGATCCCTCTTCGGGACCGGTCATTGCGACTCACGCCACTACCCTCCCGTGCCCAGCTGCCCCTTCCGGTTCTCTGACCGGCCTCCACGTTCCTACTTTCTCTAGGAACCTGGTTGGTGTGGCTCCTCTGGCGAGACAGCACGTCGGGGTCTGGTTTGAGCCTTCTGGTGACACTGCAGTCTGTGTGGACGGTGACACGTACGCCCCTCTGGCCACTTTTCGTCAGGAGCCGGGCTCTGGTCTGTACACCCTCCACACCGACACCCGTCCGGTTCCCCCGTCCCACCAGGTAGCCAGGTCCAGTCAGGTAGCTGTGCCAGGTCTAGTGGCTGCGTCGTGCTCGTGTCGGTCGCTGTCCCACCCTGTCCTCCTCTGGCACCACCGCCTTGGTCACCCGTCCCTCTCTCGTCTCCGCGCTATGTCCAGTCAGCGTCTTGTCTTAGGCCTCCCCCGCGACCTCCCGCCGCTCCCGCCGTCCCCCGCTCCTCCGTGCGGTCCTTGTGTCCAGGGTCGGCTGCGCGCCACTCCTCACTCCTCCTCCCTTCGTCCAGCCTCCGAGCCCTTTGAGACACTCCACTTAGACGTCTGGGGCCCCGCTTCCCGGCTTGGACCTGAGCGAGAGAGCTTCTTTCTAGTGGTCGTTGACGACTACTCTCGGTACACCACCGTGTTCCCTTTGGCGAAGAAGTCCGACGTGACTTCTACGCTGATCCGGTGGCTGCTCGCCACCGAGAGTACTCGTCGTCGTCGTGTCAGTTGTCTCCACTCCGACCGTGGGGGTGAGTTTCGCTCCGGCATTCTCGCCAGATTCTGTGCTGAGCAGGGCATCACCCAGTCCTGGACTCTTCCAGACTCTCCACAGCAGAATGGGGTTGCTGAGCGCCGGCTAGGCCTGGTCATGGAGATTGCCCGCACCTCCATGATCCACGCCCGCGCGCCCCATTTTCTGTGGCCCTACGCGGCTCGGTACGCCGCTCACCAGCTGAACCTCTGGCCTCGCGTCTCTCGGCCAGGGGCTTCACCGACCAGTCTTTGGACAGGGTCCCCTGGTGTTGCGTCGAGGTTTAGTGTCTGGGGCTGCTTGGCGCTTGTCCGCGACACCTCTGCGGACAAGCTCTCACCTCGCGCCATCCCCTGTGTCTTCCTTGGTTTCCCTGAGGCCTCCTCTGACTTCACCTTTTACCACCCTCCCTCCCACCGGTTCTTTGACTCTCGTGACGTCAGTTTCGACGAGTCCGTCCCCTACTACGTCCGGTACCCCTGTCGAGGTCTCCCGGTTCCCCCCCCCTCCCCTCTTCCTCGCCCCAGCTCCTCCTCCTCTCGCTCCCTCTCCTCCGGTACCCCCCCTCGGTTCCCGCTCCGTCAGGTGTGTCACAAGCTACCCCCCCTCCTTCGGTACCCCCCAGGTCTCTCCTCCTTCCCCACAGTACAGCCTCCGCAGCAGCCGTCGGCGCTTCCTCTCCCGGCCACTGCGGACTCTGAGGGTGTTGGTGCTCGAGGTGAGGGCTCTGGCGGTGCCGGTTCTGGGGGTGTTGGAGTTGGAGCTGAGCGTGCACCTGCCGCAGCTGCACGTCCCGAGCGTGTTGGAGTCGGTGGTGGTGCTGGAGCTGGTCGTGTTTCTGGAGCTGGAGAGTCTGGGGCTGGTGCTGGTGCCACTGGGCGCACCACGACTGGGGGTGCGGGTTTGCCTTCCACAGGTGCTGGTCGTGCTGCAGCGGGGGGCACTCGCTCTGGGGGTGCTCAGCCGGGCGCTGTCGAGGGTGGAGCCGGTTCTTCGTCTTCCTCTCCTGACCTCACTCCTCCTCCTCACTCCTACCCGACTCGACACCAGGCCCGTCTTCGTCTTGAGCGTGAGGAGCAGCAGCGTTTGGAGCGCGAGAGGTTGGAGGTTCAGCAGCGGGTGGAGCGTGAGAGGTTGGAGTTGCAGCGGGAGCAGCAGCAGCAGCAGCAGCCGCCGCCGTCGCAGCAGCAGCAGCAGCAGCAGCAGCAGCAGCAGCAGCAGCAGCAGCAGCAGCCGGAGCAGTCTCCGGCCCCTGTTTCTGGCCTTCGGGCCCTTGGTCTCCCCTCCTCTCCTCCTGTGTTTGGTCCTACGTTTCCTCCTCCGGACTCAGCTCCGGCTGTGTTCCCTCGTTCTCGCTCTCCCCCCTCTCCCTCTCCACTTGCCCACACTTGGGCTCCTCGTTCTCCTCGTGCTCGTCCCTCGTCCCCCGTCACTGACCTCCGTGCCGCCTTGTTTCACCCTAGCCCTCCTCGTTCTCCTCCGTCTGTTCTCCCTCGTCCTCCTGAGTCGTCCCTCACTGCCGCCCTGTCCACTCCTGTCACTGACTACTACCGCACTTACCGTCCCACTCTCTCTCGCGTTCTCGCCTCTCTTGTTACAGACCCTCGTGCCTCTCCTTCCTCTGTCGCAGTCCTCACTGCCGCTGTCACTGACTTTACTGCCACGCGTCGCCTTGACTACGCCACTCGTGTTGTGGCAGCTCCTCCTGTCCGTCCTCTGTCCGCCGGGGGTGTGTCTGCCCTTGGCTGTGACGTCCTAGAGGACAGACAGTTTGAGCTAGAGTTCCTAGCAGCCGCTTCGCCTCATCTCTGTGCCATGCTCCTTGCTCCTGAGGGTGACCCCGACGCTCCTGACATACCTACTCCTCGCACTTACGCTGAGGCAGTGTCAGGGCCTTGGGCCTCTCAGTGGCGAGCTGCCATGGACGCAGAGATGGCCTCCTACAGGTCCACAGGCACTTACGTTGACGACGTTCCCCCACCAGGGGCGAACATAGTCGACGGCATGTGGATCTTCAAGGTGAAGCGGCCGCCGGGATCTCCCCCAGTCTTCAAGGCACGTTACGTGGCTAGAGGGTTTAGTCAGCGCGAGGGGGTTGACTTCTTTCAGACCTTTGCGCCCACCCCGAAGATGACCACTCTTCGGGTGTTGCTTCACGTAGCGGCGCAGAGAGACTACGAGCTACACTCCCTCGACTTCTCCACAGCGTTCCTGCAGGGCCGCCTACACGAGGAGATCTGGCTGCGTCGTCCTCCGGGCTTCACTGGCACCTTCCCGCCTGGGACCCAGTGGAGCCTCAGACGACCGGTCTACGGTCTCCGCCAGGCACCCCGCGAGTGGCACGACACTCTTCGTTCTACTCTTTCCGACCTTGGTTTTCAGCCGTCCTCCGCCGACCCGTCGCTGTTTGTTCGTCGTGGGCGCACACCTTTCTTTGTTCTGGTCTACGTTGACGACTTGGTCTTCGCCACAGCCGACACTGTTGCACTGGCGGAGGTGAAGTCCGAACTGCAGAAGAGACACACCTGCACTGACCTTGGGGAACTGCGCCGCTACCTTGGCTTGCAGATCTCCAGGGACAGAGCCGCTCGCACCATCACCCTGACTCAGTTACACATGGTGCAGCAGGTCCTTCAGCGGTTCGGGCTTCAGCACTCCTCTCCCACACCCACTCCTCTTGCTGTAGACCACAGACTCACTGGGCCTTTTCCTGACGAGCCGTTCGAGCCCAGTGGTCCCTACGCAGAGCTGGTGGGCTGCCTCATGTACCTGATGACGTGCACTCGCCCGGACCTCGCCTTCCCTCTTAGCATCCTTTCTCGCTTTGTTGCGACTGGGAGACACCGTCCTGTTCACTGGACGGCGGCTAAGAGGGTGGCGAAGTACCTGGCCACGACGTCAGACATGGGGCTTGTACTTGGAGGGACTCAGCCAGTTGTTCTCACCGGTCACTGTGACTCCTCGTACGCTGACGACGCTGAGACTCAGAGGTCTACACAGGGTTACTGTTTCAGTCTGGGTTCTGGAGCTGTTTCGTGGAGGTCTACTCGGTCCTCCTCTGTTGCGACTTCTACCGCAGAGGCCGAGATCTACGCTGGAGCCCTTGCTGCACAGGAGCTGCGTTGGTTGACCTTCTTGCTCACTGACCTTGGCGAGCGGCCGAGCTCTGCACCGACCTTGTTTGCTGACAACAAGGCGATGATTCTCCTGTGTCGTGAGCCGCGACTGGAGAGCAGAGTGAAGCACATTGACGTCAGGTACTTCCTCCTTCGAGAGTTGCAGAGACGCGGACAGGCTCGTCTGGACTTTGTGGCCTTCGAGGCCAACACTGCAGACATCTTCACCAAGGCCCTCCAGCCTTGTGACCACCGCCGGTTTTGTCTGCAGTTAGGCCTCGTTGAGACTGGGTCTAGTTGACTGCTGTAGGGTGCTCTTTGTCTGTTGCTTGCTTGTACCTTATATATATTTGTTTGCACACTTTTGGACTGGCCTTGTGGCCCTTTGCTTGTGCTCAGATTAGGTGGTGACGTTGTGATCCACCCTGAGCTTTGTTTTCTTTCTCTTGCTTTTGACTGGTCTTGTGACCGTAGGTTGCTTGTTGTTGATTGGCCTTCCCCACTTAGGCTATGGGGGTGTGTCAAATATTATAGCCTGTAGTGGGTTGGGCTATATGGGGTACAACTAGTTAGGGTTAGGTTATGTACCCCAATTCTGTCAATGCAACACATTCCGCTGTAGTTCTCATTCTGACACTAACACTGATATTCTTTGCATCAGGAACATTATGCTTCATTCATTATCACTTCTGTTGAGGACAAAGTTGTCCGACTCTGGGTATACCTACTTCAGAGGAAATGAGGTCATACATCAACCAAGCTGGCCACGCTTTCATCACAAACTGCAAGTCACTGTACCGTATTTGAGGAGTGTCAGCACCAGGCACATGTCTTCTTCATAAATGTGATTGATGTCTTGAACAATCTGCGCTGAAGTCATCAGATCAGAGATGATACTATAAGCCATACCAGGCCCTCAGATTGGTTTGAGGGTATGCTGATGGATCAGCGTGCCCCGGCCAACGAGGTGTCCAAATCAGCGTTCACGGATTTTTTTTTACTGATTTTGCCAGTGTGAAAATCATAAGTAAACTGAACCAACAGTGTAAAAAAAAAACTAACAGCTGAAACACTAGTGCAAGGTGTGTGCTGTTGTTACTGTGATACCGTAGGTTCCAGCGAGGCGAAAGATATCAGGTCCACACACTTCGGAGCACACCTGATACAGTATCTGCGCAGCACATGCGAAGTGTGTGGGTTTCGTGACACGGAAAGGTATAGTCTGTACATGCGTACCTCCCCCCCCCCCCCCCCCCCGCGGTCAAGTCCGTTTCAGGGTGACGCACTGAAGTATGCTGATTCGTCAGTGTTACTTGTTCAGAAACACACATAATCGTCAGTGTGGCAAAATCACATATACTGAAATTTCAGCCCATAATGGAAGCATTTACTGATTTTTCAGGGAAAACGAAATTCAGAGCTACAAAATCAGCGTAATCAGCGTGTTTTACGCTGATATCTGAGGCCCTGAGCCATACTCAAGGTTCATCATCATTTTGCCATGACCATCATGAAGGTGAAGCACGCTTGATGGCATGCTGGTTTGTTTGAACTTCTTGATTTGATCAAGGTGCTCAAGTTCCAACTTTCTTTGTTTTGTTAGGGTTTAAAGCTGTTCACAAGCAACAAGCAGGCTCATATAACATGGTGGTGGTACATCAAAGGTTACTGAACATTGTCATATTCATAGACCTTTACAACCGAATTAAACGATACCTGCCTCTTCATTTTCCTGGACCGTTCCTCCCTCGCCTCATTACCACCCGTACAACCACCAGCTGCAACCACACCTCCTCTCTCCTTGTCAATAACTTCTTCTTCCTTTCTTTCCCCATCCCTGAAACTCACACTTCCTACCACAAACCGCTCCTTTTCACTCTCCCACTCCCTCTCCCTCTCCTCCTCCCTCTTCCTCTCCCATGCTTGCTCCCTCCTCTCTTCCCCCTCCGACTCTGTCCCTTCTGCACCCTGTGCCTCCAATTGAAACACCTTCAAAAGAGGATGAGAAACTGGAACAGCTTTACTCCCTCCTCTCTCCTGCCAACTCAAAGACTGCTTCAACCCACCTTTTGGGACTCCTCTCCTCTCCCCGCCACCTTCCCCATTCCTTCGGCTTACACCACTGCAGTTATCCCCGTCAGTGGCATCTCCTTTATAAGCAGGTGTCGACAATTGGAGCCCATCCAATGTCTTAGTATAAGCTGCCTCGTTAAAGGACAGATGGTGCCCAAAAGAATTCAATGGGTGAGCAGACACAGAGGCCTGGTGCCTCTGGTCAATGGAAGTGGGGGTGAGAGTGGATGGGAGTGTGAGTGTGTGGGTCAGTGTGGGGTTCAGTGTGAGTGAGTGTGAGTGGATGGGTGCAGAGGCAGTCCTGGAAAGTGGAGCAGCTGAAAGAGGCGGCAACAATGCTCTTCTTCTCTCTCTTTCCTCCTCCCCTCCCCTCCCTTCACCTTTTCTCGCTTCCCGTTCTCTCCTAAACGCAGTCTTCCTGCTTCCTCTCGCCTCTCCATCCTTCTTCCTCCCATGCTCCTCACCTCCACTTTCCCCCTCGCTCCAATCCCCACTTGATCCCCTCCCTCGTCCCTGGTAGTACCTCACCGTACCTGGGCTTGAGCTTCGGGCCCATGATTCCAAGCCCTTTACCGGACCTAGCAGCGCAAACACCGAATGCTGCTGCTGCCGTATCTGCGAGCTCGGCTCGGCACTAGGCTCGGCAGTAGCAGGCCCGGAAATAGGCTTGGCAGAGCGTGCAGTTTTAGGTCCGGGAGTCAGATGCTCGCCCCCTCTCAAATCTTGAGACAGCAATGCTGTTGACAGCTTTGGAAGAGAGAGGTTCGGTTTGGACCAGGAGGCTCGGCCGAACCGTTGGTACCTGAAGCTACTTCTAGAGCTGCCAGTCTCGCTCGTGTATCCACCGTCCCCCTCCCCCTGCTCCTCCTCTCCTCCACTTACCCTCCACAACCTTTCTCCTCCTCCAGAGCCCCTCTTTCCTCCTCTCAGTCCACCCATTCTCCACCTTCCCTCCCCCGCATCACTAGAAGCGATAGAATCACCTCCATCCGCATTTCCATCAGCATCAGCAATCGCCATGGTCAGATCTCCCATACTACTCACCCTGCCAATGCTACTGCCGCTGCTGCAGTGGCCGTGCAAGCTCCCCGACACTCTAGCACCGGGGCTACTACCAGGGCTATTGCCGGGGCTGCTACCTGGGCTGGTGCCAGGGCTGCTGGCAGGGCTCCTACCAGCTTCGGCTTGCATGCTTGACACGTCACAAGCATCAACGCTAGTTGCTATGCTTGAGGTGCTGACAGTACTTCCCATGCTCCTATGCCTTGCTCTCTCCCTCTCTGCCTTCCTCTCCCTCTCCCTGATCCTTTCTTTCTCCCTTTCCCTCTCCCTCTCCCTTTCCCTCTGCCTTTCTCTCTCTCGCTCCCTCTCCCTCTCCTGCTGTCTTCTACTCCCCATGTCACTACCTTTATCAAGGTTTTTTCTGCCCGAGTTTCCTCCATATAAAGTTATCTCGTTCCAATTAAAAGGCTTAGAGTGCAAGGCTCCACCCACATCACTATCGCATGACGACTCCCGTGTAGCATTATCACTAATGCCGCTCCCAACCGCGCTATCTTCCCCCAAGCTTCCATTCCTCCGAATTGCATACTCCCTCTCTCTCTCACTCAAAAGACCTTCCTCACTCCCCCTCTCGCTTTCCATCCCCACACATCCTCCCTTCCCTCTCGCCCCAACATTCTCATCCACCCATGTTGGCAACTGTAGAACCTCACTCCGAACCTGTCCCCTTAGGTTCGGTGGGCTCAAGCCATACCCGGAGCTGCTGTAGGTTCGGGGAAGGCTGATGGTAGCAGAGGAAACGGTGGAGGTGGGGGAGGGAAGGGAGGACGGGAGAGAGGGGGTGGTTGGACGGGATAGCCTCAATGAAATCTCTCCTACTCTTGATCCGTCCTCTCCCATCCCATGGCAAGCAGCAGCGGCAGTGACTACAGATGATGTTGATGCTACTGATGCCACAGATTTTGTTGAGACTGCTGAGGAGGGCCGTGCTCCTAAACCCCTGCTGCTGACCAGCAGCATCGGATTACTGTCATCACCGGGCCTACAGATATCATCACACTCCAAAGATGCAGTACCCCTGCAGGCCCCACCTCCCTCTCCTCCATTCCCCAACCCTGCTTCGACGGGCCCCATCTGTTGCCTTCCATTTCCAATACCGCATTCAGCTTCATGCTTAGCCTCTGATGCTGCTGCTGTTGCTGCCGCTGCCGATCCTGCTGCTGCTCCCCCGCCTGTTGCCGCTGGTGCTTCGCCCACCCTTCCTGCGACCACCTCAGCAGCAGCAGCAGCAGCAGCAACCTGCACACCCGCAGCCAGCCTCTGCGAGCAAGCCAGAATTTCCCTCGTCTGGGATGCAACGCACGCCCCTCCACCACTACTGACACCCTGCTGCACCCCGCCCCTCACCGACCCAGCAATAGCACTGGTACCAAATGCGCCTGCGCTATCCCACGAAGAAGCAAGGATGGGCGGCAGGGGCAGCAAAGAGGCATCATCATCGAGAGAGGAGATGAGGGCTTGATCCCAGGCGTCACTCAGGGTGGTGCGCGGAGATGCCAGATCGAGTGTGTCTGCTATTGAGGCGTCTCCGAACGAGGATGAGGAGAGGGATGGCCAGTTGCTGTTGCCCTGCCTCCCCCTCCTCCTCCTGCCACCACCAATACCACCTCCTCCCACACTGGGGCTTTCAGCTGTGAGGGGTCTTGGCGTTATACTCACTTCACCTGCTCTTACTGAACCACCTACTGCTGTTGATGCTGCCGCTGCTGTTGCTGGTGTTGCTCTTGCTGCTGCAGTTGCTGATGCTGCTCTTGTTGCTCTTGTTCCTGCTGCTAAAGCTGTTGCTGCAGCTGCCCCACCTGCTCCGCCTTCACTCCCCTCACCCATTCGTCCCCCTATAGGCCCGTACCTCCAACCCCCCCACCGCCGCTGCACTGCCCGACCCGTTCCATCAGGCTTGGAGGATCCCCGAACCTCGCTGTCAGGTTTGGAGGATTCCCGAACCTGCATGTCAGCTTCGGGAAGAGGACGGTCCGAGCCTCCACCTGCGCCCAAGAGCGCGCCGAGCCTGGCCAGTGCTGTTCTGTGGTCGTTAAGCAAGGCGCGGTTCAAGCTGCTGTGCCTAAAAAGAGGAAAGCCTCTGCTGTGCTCCGTGGCTGGTGCCTTGTTACCTGTTAGTGTTACGCGGTTACCGCCAGTCGCCTCTGCTACAGTGGCACTGTCATTCTCGTTAGGGGTGCAAATGTCAGCAAACGCAGCGGTGGCAAAATCTATGCCACCAATGGTGTTGAGAGGTGTTACTGTGTTACCAGTGGTAACGCTGTTACGTGCTGCTAGAGCGTCGGGTATCCACACCCCTCCAATAGTCATGTTGCCGAAATCCCATGACCCTGACTTGCGACGAGCCTTCAACCCCCCACCACCAGCCGCAGCAGCAGCAAACGCAGCTGCTGCTGCCCCCCCACCTCCTGCTGATTCCGAAGCACCAGTGCTGGTTCGGGCCGCACGAGACTGCATTCCACCGCACTCTACCGACCTGTACGACCTGTTACCGTGTCCCTCCTCCTCTTCCTCCTTCTTCTGCTCCTGATTCCCCTCCTCTCCCTTCCCCCACTTACTCCCCTCTCCCCCCTCATCCCCTTCCTCCTGCTTCAAAGCTCCAAACCTCACAACCATGGGCCCTGACTTGCAACTCCTCAGCTTCCCCCCAACCATGGTACGCTCTTCGAACGATCCCCCATAGGAGCTGACCCGAGACTCCTTAGAAGAGCCACCAAACCGCAAGCCGTTCCCGACACCACCCCCAGCACCACCACTCCCATCAGCATCACCAGCAGTAGCAGCAGCAGTGGAGACATGCGAAAACGAGCTGGCTCTGCTCGTCTCCTCCCACGCCCTATCGAACCTCCTTTCAGCCCTCGAGGTGGTGGGATCGCTGAACGGAACAAAGGGCAGATTGAGCGGAGGAGCAGCAGCAGCACCCACACTCCCACTCAGACTCCCACTCCCACTCCCACTCACATACCCACTCGCACATCCCCCCTGCCAGCTTCCCAAGCTCCCCACACTGAACCCTCTTCCCCCTCGTTCACCCTCCCAGCTGCCGCCCTTCCCATCTCCTTTACAGCCCGACTCCATATAGTACTGATCAGTGTATTTGTGCCATTTCTCCTGCAGAACACGTGCCGAGAGGACAAGGTTGGCGGGGCTCCAGGGGGAGGGCGGTGGGCTGTCGTCCGTGAGAAGCTGCCAGGAAGCATGCGCCTGCGCAATGATTGCCAGCGCCACGTCAGCAGCGCCCGCCCTCTGGTTCAACCCGAACTCGTTCTCCTCGTCGTCTGTAGCGGAAGTGAGGGGAATGGGGTTGGGGGAGTTGGGGGGCGTGGGGAGGGGGGTGGTTCGGTGGATAGAATTATAGGGGAAGAAAAGAAGGGAGAACGATCCGTGCAATGGAAAGGGAAGAGGTGCCCCTTCACGTTTCCCTCGGCGCCTGTAGCAAGCGAGGCAGCGGGGAGACAATGTGCAGGGAAGCAGGAAATCGAGTGAGGGAAAGGGAGCGGGCGCGGGGGTGGGCGGGTGAGCAGGCGACAGGGCGAGAGAGGGGGTAGGGTATGGGGTAGCAGGAAACCAGGTAACATAAAACCCAGATACGACCGTTATCTAGTGATACGGCCTCATGTCATTGGCTTACCTGGATCGACGCAGTCGCAAAATCGCAGCCATTCACGAATGTCGTCTAGCAGGCCCGGGAAAAGTGCATGCACGTCTGCCACGTCATTGATCTGATCCGCCACGTCATCCTCCCCTCCAGCACCGCTACCACTTCTACAGGCATTCGCGACCGCGGGAATAGCGAGAAGCTTCCAGGAAAGGCGGCTCTTCTGCTGCACGACCGCGAACGCTCCGATTACTTTCACCTGACACACATCTCCTGTCCGCAAATCGCGGGACGGCAGCCTACTAATCGACGAGGCGCCCAGCGAGGCGAACCCGGCTCGCGACGCGTCGTTAAGATCCAGCAGCAAGGCGTGCATGGGGCCGCCTTGGTATGCCAGGCCGCCATAGTCGGGGTTGGGCTGCGCGGGGTCCGCGTACGTCTGCGGGAGAAACCCTAGGCTGAACCGCGTCGCGTTCTCCGCAAAATGCGCGGGCTTAGTAGGGCTATTTCCGAACTGGGCGATTCGTAGCGGAGTAAACTCCTCGTCCTGAGCTACCTCGTACTTAATCCACGAGCCTCTAGGCGTCGCGCAGACGAAATTAAGGAGCCCGTCGCGGCTGTAAAGCGGCACGTGGTGCCACCAGGAAATCAGTTTTAAATCGCGGTCAACTGCCAGCTGGCGCCACGTCAGCGTGCCGACGTGGCCGATCTCGATCGACGTGGACTGGAGGATTTTGTCGTGTATCGGGGTTGGCGGGGTGGGAGTGAGAGGGGAATCATGCAACCCGCGCCCGCCGTTTCCGGTGGGAGTCGCGTCGCTTCCTAAAATGTGGTCCCACGCGGAAGATACCGAGTCGCCATACCCCGATGAGTTAAAGTCGGCAATGCTTGTTGTTACGGTGGTGGTGGTGCTAGGAGTAGGAATCACGGAACTTTCTCTTACTAAGGACGTCTCTAAATTAGACCGCCCAGCTCCGCTACCACTACCAACAGGACCGCCTGGCTTGGACTCTATCGTCGAGCCGCTGTCCACGTCAGCATTCCTTATCTCCCATAGACCATGGCTAGGAAACGCATCGTCCTCCTCGTCCCCGCAGCTAATCTGCAGCTTCCGCGTTCGCTTCATTGTACCCGCCATAGTGCGCCTCGACTCAGCACTGCCTGTCCCGAAAACGTGCACGAGACAGTGACTTTCTTAGTACACTGTTAGTGCCGACCGAAAATGTTATGAATACGACCGCGCTGCCTCGAAGGGAAGTTCCATGCTGAACGCATTAAGCGCCTAGCACTAATCTTACGACGCAGCTGTATACTGTTAGCGGCGATAGTCTGGGTGGGAACGATACATCTTTCGCAAAAGCCGTCCTTGAGTTAGGAAGCAGCTAAGCGACACGAGGCCGTCCTTTATTTTACTGTAGACTACAAATACACTACACTGTACACTGTTACCTCACCTCATCCTACCTACCACAAATCAACCGACCGACCAAACTCAAGGACCGCCCTCGCCAACAAGATCCTGAAGTTCATCGCTAACAACACCCTCGGTAATACAAACGTATCACTAGAAAGTGAAGCTGTTAAATATTTCTCGTTAATAAACTAAAGCATCTACTCAGTGATGTCCACTACGGCTAACACATATTGTGAAATTACGAAGTTCTGATCAAGGGAAAAAACAAAATTTACGATATAAATATGAAGTAACAAAGTCCAAACGTGAAGATGGTCGAAGCGAAGACAAAGACACGCGATAAAAGCAACAATTAAATACGGTTACAGCTGGAAGAAAGTTGAAATGCAACTGTTGGGCTGAGTGAAGCCCTAGGATCGTAAGGTGACAAACTCCTACATGTGACAAAACATATACCATGATGTGATTATAGGCTGTAGTGGGTTAGGTTCTTTAGGGTACAACCCAGATATGGTTAGCTACTTGTACTCTGTTTCTGTTCAATCCATCCACTCCGCTGTTTACATTTCTGACATGGTATCAGTCGCTAGGTTTTGGAGTGTTGGAAACAATGAATCTTAAGCGCCTCTGTCGTGTCGAAACACTAAGGCACAAGCGAAGCAAAGCATACCCTCGGAGGTTGAAAGTAATTGCTGGAGGTTACGCGAAAGTCAAAGGTCAGCGACCTTTGACCTGACAAGTACAGCGCGACAGCAAGGACACACAACTGACTCGTTACAGAGCAGTTGCCCGAGTCGTCACTGTATCGAACCGCAACAGCAACAGTAAAGTAGTTATAACTGTATCTTTTCATATTCCTTGTACTCTTATATAATCTTGTATCTCTTTGCTTTAATTAATCTACTTTGCCCTCACATACTAGCGCAAGGTGGTTCAACTCCTTCATTAAACGCTTCCGCTATTACATTGTTCCTACCCAGAGTTCACCCTTGCAAAAGATCCTAAGGGCTAATTCTCAGCCCAACATGGTATGAGAGCTCACAAGGGGAACTCAACTACTATCAAGTCATCACAAGACATGGCAACACAAAAGGAAAGGAGCTCCTCTAACGGCTCCGAAGGCACTACTCCTACTCCATCTCCTGCCTCTGGCCTACAAACAGAGGAAGGCACGGCAGTCAGACCAAGGGCGACGTCTAGCGAGACTCCCGCAAGTCAACCTGTCAACTTCGACCAGAGCATGATGGAGAAGTTCTTCTCCTTCATGTCGTTTTACGAACAGCATCAGCAATCGGCACCTGCGCAGTCACACAACAGCAACAACAACGAAGTTACTCCTATGAGTCTTGATGACTCATCGTACGCTCGCGGAAATCAACAGCAGCAACCTACCCTTGCTCCGTACAAGCGCGGGTCCATCAATTTCATTCCACACCCGCAGCCTTCACCTGGACAAGAAAAGCCACTGGACGCACTGCAAGTTCAGTCGCAGTTCGCGCACGTCTTAAAGCTGCAGATATCAAGGCCTTTCGATGGAAAGGACTTCTTCACCTGGTCGTTCGAATTCGGACTAATGATGGAAGGCGCGCAAATCCTCGGCTTCTTCGACGGGTCCCTGCCATACCCAACAAACGGCACGCAGTATGAGAAACAGCGGTACACATATCAGTCGATGATGGCGTACACAATCCTACTGAGGAACATCACACCGACTAAGCAACAGAACATACGGTCTTACCGGGGTTACGGCAACTCCGCGGAGCTCGCATACAGCCACTTGAAGAACCTGTATCAAGCAACAGACAGTGTAAACCAGAGTCGGTTAATGGCGCAATTGACAACGGTCGAAATGAAACCAGGCGAGAAGGGAATGGCGTATATCAGCCGATGTCGCGAGCTGCGCGACAAGCTTCTTCGATGCGGAGTATCGATTTCTGAAGACGCCTTCGTGACAGTCATCATCGGCGGCCTCGGTCCCCAATGGCGCGCAACAAAGGCCATTCTTCGAGCCCACGGAAGAAACTCCGAAGCAGTGCTTTGCGCCGAAATCCACGCCGAGCAGCAAGACATGGACCTGCAAGAAGAGAAACACAAGAGAAAGACATCAGTACCGGAATTCGCTTTTCACACTCAGCGACGCTACAACAACAACAACAACCGACAACAACCGAAGCCCGTACCTCCGTTCTGCCACATCTGCAAGATGCCAGTGTCAAACATTGTATGTTTATATTGTGTAGGCTATAGTGGGTTTAGCCTTAGAGGGTACACAAACTTAGGGTTTCATACTTGTACCCACCTTCCTGCTAGTTCATCCATTCTCGTTCTATTCTAGATTCTGACATGGTATCAGAAGCCTAGGTTGCTACCTAGGACCGCTTTCTACAATGGGCCCACTATTCCGCTAGGCGCGCCCTCGTGCGCCCTACCTTACGTGCGCCCTCGTGCGCCCTACCTTACGTGCGCCCTCGTGCGCTCTACCTTACGTGCGCCCTCGTGCGCCCTCGTGCGCCTTTCTCTGCTAGTGCGCCTTCGTGCGCCCTCGTGCGCCCTCGTGCGCCCTCGTGCGCCCTCGTGCGCCCTCGTGCGCCCTCGTACGCCCTCGTGCGCCCTCGTGCGCTCTCGAGCTGCCCCTGCAGGTCCGTCAGGCCCCCGAGCCGCCGCTGCAGGCCCGTCAGGCCCGAGAGCCGCCCCTGCACACCCGTCAGGCCCGCGCGCAGCCTCTGCACGACCGCGCGCCGCCCCTGCAGGCTCTCGCCGCCCGCCGCGTCGCCCTTCCCGTGGCGTAGCCGTCTTCCCGCGGCGTCGTTGCCTGCCCGCGACGTAGCCCCTGTCCGCGGCGTCGTCGCCTGCCCGCGGCGTCGTCGCCTGCCCGCGGCGTCGTCGCCTGCCCGCGGCGTCGCCGCCTGCCCGCGGCGTCGTCGCCTGCCCGCGGCGTCGTCGCCTGCCCGCGGCGTCGTCGCCTGCCCGCGGCGTCGTCCCCTGCCCGCGGCGTCGGCGCCTGCCCGCGGCGTCGTCGCCTACCCGCGGCGTCGCCACCTGCTAGCGGCGTCGCCCTACTCGCGGCGTCGCCACCTGCCCGCCGCGTCGCCCTGCCCGCGGCGTCGCCACCTGCCCGCCGCGTCGCCCTGCCCGCGGCGTCGCCACCTGCCCGCCGCGTCGCCCTGACCTAATCCGCCTCTCGCCCCTGGAGCAGCCGCCACTGCAGCAGCAGCCCCTGGAGCAGCCGCCACTGCAGCAGCAGCCCCTGGAGCCGCCCGCCACTGCAGCAGCAGCCCCTGGAGCCGCCCGCCACTGCAGCAGCAGCCCCTGGAGCCGCTCGCCACTGCAGCAGCCGCCCCTGGAGCCGCCCGTCACTGCAGCAGCCCCCTCTGGAGCAGCACGCACCTGCAGCAGCCGCCCCTGGAACAGCCCGCACCTGCAGCAGCCGCCCCTGGAGCAGCCCGCACCTGCAGCAGCCGCCCCAGTGGCACCTGGAGCAGCTGCCGTCGCGGCCCAGCCTCGCCCTGCCGCAGCTGCCGCGGAGCTCCCTGCTGCGGCCCGGCCCAGCCCTGCAGTTGTAGCGGCCCCACTGTCGCCACCGTCTTGCGCCTGCCGCGCCGACCACTGGTGAGCATTGCCCAGTACTGCTGCAACTGCCTTTTCTACTCCCACTGCCACTGCTCCTGCTGTTACTACTGTTACTGCCGCTACTGCTACTACTGCTGCTCCTGACGTGGCCAGATGCAGCTCCAGGGCTGTGCGCGTGAGTCCCCCACGCCCCAGCAGCTTCGTGCGCGTGAGTGGTACGCTAGTCGGGGCTGTCGGGGTGGCCGTAGTGGTAGTCGCTCTGGAGTGCATCGGTCGGGAGCTTCTGGTAGTGGACAGGTGCAGCAGCCGTGTCCTCCTTCGCCCCAGCTGCTTCGTGCGCGTGAGTGGTACGCTAGTTTGGGCTGTCGGAGTGGCCGTAGTGGTAGTCGCTCTGGAGTGCATCGGTCGGGAGCTTATGGTTGTGGACAGGTGTTGCAGCCGTGTCCTCCTTCGCCCCAGCTGCTTCGTGCGCGTGAGTGGTACGCTAGTTTCGGCTATCGTAGTGGCCGTAGTGGTAGTCGCTCTGGAGTGCATCGGTCGGGAGCTTCTGGTAGTGGACAGGTGCAGCAGCCGTGTCCTCCTTCGCCCCAGCTGCTTCGTGCGCGTGAGTGGTACGCTAGTTTGAGCTGTCGGAGTGGCCGTAGTGGTAGTCGCTCTGGAGTGCATCGTTCGGGAGCTTCTGGTAGTGGACAGGTGCAGCTGCCGTGTCCTGTCAGTGAGGCTGCCGCTCTAGGTGCTAGTACGTCTGTTGCCCTAGGTGCTGGTGAGGCTGCTACTCTAGGTCCTAGTGAGTCTGCGCCCCCTGGTACTGAGTCGACTGAGGCCCTGCACACCTTCACCTTGGACTCAGGTGCTTCTCGCTGTTTCTTTCGTGACCGCACTGCCCTTGAGCCGCTTGCTCGGCCAGTTGCTGTCTCCCTCGCTGACCCCTCTGGGGGTCCGGTCGTTGCGACCTCCTCCACTGTTCTTCCCTGTCCTGCGGTCCCGTCGGGCACACTGTCAGGTCTCCACCTCCCCTCGTTCTCTACGAACTTGGTGGCGGGTTGTGCGCTCCAGGATGTGGGTGTTCACCAGTTCACCCCTGCCTACGAGCGCGTGACACACTGCACGTGTGCTCGGACGGGCCGTCACCTGGCTACCTTCACTCGGCAGCC